GGCATGGTTGATTTGCGTAGCTGCGTTCACCCAAATTACATTTTCTTCTGTTGCGTGGTAGGTAAATTTGGTTAGTTTGAATGGTGTGCCACCTTCGGCTTTGGTTTTCACATTGGCTTTATGTTTTCTCTGTGAAAAGCACAATCCTTTTATTTTATTTTCCTTCTCTTGGAATGTAAATGAGAAGTAATCAGATCCTTTTGCACTTTTTTTCACTGGGCTGACATTGTGGAGATAACCAATAATGGTTGGATCTTTGTGTAGCTGGGTTGAGATTTTCTTCGGGAAAGAAGTTGAATTTGGTGTTGGCACTGTTGTGTTGCACAATGATGACTCAGTTGCTCCTGAAGTTGACGGGGCGCCTGATAATGGCTCAGTTGATCTTGAAGTTGACGGGGCGCTCGACGCAGGTGTACGTGTAGGCACGTTTCTTTTGTAAGAGTTAACATCTAAAGAAATAAAGTATTCCTTTGTTATCGGTGATTATATTTTTCAGGAATAACAACAACAATTATAACAATCCTTTATTAACCTACGTAACATTAAGGAATTTCAGTATGAAAGAGGAATACCTTTTTTTCGAGACACTTTGACGTTATCCGACATTTCAATGGCTACATTTATTCCAAAGGCTTGAAGATGCAACTGCGTACGGTGCGGGCAAGTGAGATGTTATATTAGGACTGTTCGGACAACGCCCGTGTAAGCTCTGAGTGGTTTACTTTCTTCGGATCCCTTCGGACTCAGCCCAACCCGGCCCGGCAAGGCCTGGTAACGAAAATTTCTGGATGCCTGGAGTTTGTTTGAATTCATGGATGAAAGTTGTTTCAAAGGTACGTATGTTTGTTTTCCTAATTTAACGTTAACTGATTTAATTACTGATAAAGTCCAGTTAGAACGTATTGTAATTTTCGAGTGCTCACGTAATCAACTGGACATGTCTTTGTTTTTTGCTATATTACCTGTGTAACAATGATAAAAAATTGGTAAAAATTGCCATGTATTACTGTAAAATAACCTATCTCATGACAAAAGTTATATCATCGAGTCATGGAGTACAAAGGGTTGGAAGCTCTTACTGAATATTTGAAGTTTATGTTATTTTTAGTTCAGTAACTGTGTCCAAATGAAAAGTTATAGGTCATGTAAGCTATTGAGGCGTAATGTATCTGAGACGTTCCACATACTATGCGATACTGGAATTGTTTTTTCTATACAAAAGCAGAAGCGTAATACGTGATTGATGTACATTATTTATAACAACATACTTAACAGCATTTATGCAAGGGAAATATTTATATTCATTAATATGAATATGATTCTTTATACATACTGCTAAACTACAGAACCTGTCTGAAGTGTGGTCTTGTCTCTATATGGTAAATGGTTCTAAATGATCTTTAATATCATTGTCATTTGTCTGAGGTAGAAGCAGTGTCTCTGTCAGAGCTATTAGGTCACTATTAAAGATACTGAAATGAAATTTAATATAAAGACTATGTTTTTTGAGAGATCTGACATTAAGAAGAGTTATAGACATTTGTCTGTCAAATGCTATTTGTACAGGAGGCTCCAAGTACTTCTTAATCTCCCATATTCTTCATGTACTTTAAGGTTTGTTCATAAATGTCTATGTTCTATCTGTCCAAGTATATGAATGCCTTGTAAGGTAGTAGATTGACTTATTGCTACATAAACTTGTCCATAGTTAAAAAATCTTTGTTTCACAAGTTCAAAACTTATAACAATTTTGTGTAATGTTAGTCCTTGTACCTTATATACAGTGCAAGCCCATGCTAGTGTAATAGGGAACTGCATTCACTGTATTTCTGGCAATGATGGCTTACCAGGTCTTATCTTGAATCTTTCTAGGATCGGTTCAATGGGTACCAATCTGTTTTGTTTAGCAAAGGTATTATTGCATTTGTCAATTAAGGCCTTTCCAGCCAATTTGTCATCAAATTTAATATATATTATTGATGGTTTTTTTGTGTTCTTATTCATATCAATTTTGATAATTGTACCCATTTGACCATGAATAAGCCTGTCTGCTATGTCAATATTAGTGGTTAACATAACTCTGGCTGTTTCTTTGACAAAGATGTTATGATCAAGTCCTCCTGTCTCTGATCTTCCTGTTGCTAGTACTCTATCAATATCTTGTTTTCAAATATTGGCTGGATGTTGATCAATGGCTGTCAGTTGAAATAATGGTCTTGTATTTGCTTTAGTTTTGCATTGTTATGCTGTGTAACAGGATTATTCTCAGCCCATATATGTAGAGAATCTGTTGGGTAGTTATCATCCAATGGACATGTTGACCTGGATTGAATGCACTGAATATCTTCATTGGTCTGTGAACCAGTTTTGAATCTATTTAATTGTTCAATAAATGGCTGGTCATCTTTTTGTCTCATAATCTCTGTAAGCTCAATCATCTTAAAGACATGCCAAGGGTGGTAAAGGTTTAAAGCATCATTCTTATAGTCTTCAAAAACAGGTTTTCTTTGTATGGGTGGTAGTTGATATAAATCACCAAGAGCAATTACACTTAAACCAGCAAATAATTGAGAATCAGAGGTAGCAAATATTTCTTTTAATCTCTGGTGAATATGATGTATTAAAGCAGTATTTGACACCATAGATATTTCATCTATTACTAGTAGCTTTAATTCTGATAATGATAGTCTCATTTGTGTTCTTTGATCTGACATGGCAGGCAGTGTATCACCTGTATTCTTAGGGATTGCCAAAGCAGTATTTATTGTTGTTCCATTAATGTTAACGGCAGCTACTCCAGTAGGTACTGATAGTAAAACTGTAGGATTCTCAGGATTCATACCATCATACCTAAATGTTTTGATTACAGTGTGATAGATTGTCTTAATAAGGTGACTTTTTCCTGCACCACCACCTCCAGTAATAAATAGATAAATTGGTTCAACTTTTTTAGGTTTCATGCAGTTCAAATTTTTTATTTTGTCCCTGCACCATAACAGGACTATATGTCATATGCTTGGTGTTGTTTTTCATTTAAGGATCTGATAGATTCTGTCAGTTGATCATCTGATATTTCAGCTGGTTGATGGTGCACTGATATTCCAGTTTGACCATGTTGTTCAGTTTGTGAACTTCTTCCTAGATGTGATGGTTTTTGTTTATTGAATGACTCCTCCAATGATTCATCTTGAGCCTCCAATTGAATGTCTTCATTTTCCTGATCACCAAAGGAATCACAGAGTAGATTATGTCATTTTGATTGTTTCTTAGCCATTCTAGTGCTTCTGTTACTGCTTCTGCATCTGGTTCAAACATTTCTCTGTTGTGTTCTACAATATTTTTAACATTGGTCTCATAAAATTTAGATACATAAGTGTCATCACTATCAAGAAGAGTTCCTTCATGTCTCCAAGGATAATAAAGCATTAATAAATGACAGAAATACAGTTCAGGTTCCTTGTGTTTGTTAGGTTTGTGATGTCCTATAACTTCTTTAATTTTTCTTTGCTTCATTTTTTCATTGGTGTTCATGAGCCTTATAGCATATGGCAATCGGTCATTATCCAAATGTTGAGCTTCAATTGCACTGTCAATTAGAACTTGTGGTTGAACATCAACAATTATTGTTTCACTGTTTTCTTTTCAATACTCTTTGTAATAATATGCAACAAACTCTGCTAAACAAAGGTCATTGACTGC